GTATATAATGTATTACATTTACTACGTATAATTAATAAAGCCTTGAGGAAGACCTCACTTAGCATTTAAAAAAAAAATATTAATACAATTGGTTTCATATAATTTACTTAAGCTAATTATTATATATAACTTAATTATAGTGTTTTTAGATATTATGTAATTTTTATCGATTTTTAAGAATTTAGACTTATTGATTTTATAACTTTATACTTTAGAATATTTTGATTCAATTTTAGTACAAATCAGATTCTTAAACCATCTTTTTAGGAGTGTTATATTTATTATATTTTGCATGTATATTTGTAATGAGAATGAGAAAGATGTATATTGATAGAGTCGATTATAAGATATTATTTATTATAATAATGAATTTCCATATTTCACAAATTTATGTATAAAATATATTATATTTTTTAGATAATATCCAAAATACATTTGTGATATTCTTAGCAATAATTATATCACTAATTACTTCAGGTAACAATTGAGTCACACCTGTTTTTAATTTTTTAAAACATTTGTATATTATTTCAAAAAATATTATCAGATTTAAAATTTCAATTGTTTTGTATAAGAAATGTATATTATCAATCATAATAAAGTATATGATCTTATATTTACATACAATAATCTTTATTTAACCAATTATTAATATATTTACATGATATATACAAGACAGAAAATGAATTGTAATCTAAAAAAATAAATGCTTTATTTTTTATACTGCACTAGTAGGCCTCTTCTTGCAGGTTTCAAATCTATAAATTGTAAAATAAATAAACAATATATAATTACAAAATAACCTTACTCATCTATAATAAATACTTACCAAGATGACTCTGCCTGTGATTTCTTAATTTTATTATAGATTTTTGAGAAACCAACTTAGGGAAAGAATATTTTTGTGGTTTCTTTTCATGTCTTTTAAAACTATCCTTAATTGAGAAATTGTTATCTGAAATCTTCAACACATCCAAATTCCTGTTATTAAAAAAAGAACTAAATTTCTATTTTTGCTTTATAACAATATTATGAATATAAAAGACAACACTATAGCGAACCCTGGTTATTATTGGAAGGTTTTCATGATCTAAAAGATATGATCTAAAAGCGATTGCCTATCTTTGCTTTACATTGATTGTCAACATTAATTCAAGAAATGCTATGTGTCCACCTTCGAATGTTCCAAGAGAACAGACTATACATAATGTAAATGGATTTTTGATGTATTATTTTTTTCCATGATAATATCATTTTTATTATTTGCATTCATCTGATCCTTAGAATTAGAGAACTTTGACCTTTTGCAGAATCTTGTGTAATATATACGTTACTACTCTTATCAAGGAAGGTGGTACAGTCAGAATTTTCATTAGCTTGGTTTTCGAATCCTCTAATATAGTATCCTCAATCACAATGAGGCATCTAGCCTAATCTTGCATAGAGATAGAATTATTCACAGTAAGGACTATTGTTTGATCCTTTGTATTAACTTGTTTTGTTTGCTCAGCTGTAACTTCATCCTCTTCTATTAACCCCATACTTCGCATAATCTCAAAACCGCCATTATCATCTTCGTCAGTAATGGTTACATTTAATTGCTGGGAGGCCACCCCTTTATCCGGACTTTTGGGCAGCACCCCACATTCTCCAGAAGCAAGTGCGGTTTCTTCTTTAAAAAGCTCAATACCGGCTTTGCATGTAGAACATGTAGGATATTTTGTTGCACCCCGAATAATGTGTATTTCAAGGCATATTCAATGGAGCAGATGCCTACAACACAACACAGTGAAAGCTTTGAATCGGAAATTAAGTATAGCTTTATTGAAGAGCTTGCACGGGTGGAGTTTTGGTATGTTGTTATCATCCGGAATTGTTGAAATATTTTGACTTTGTAGGTAATTTAAGGAAAGTGTTTCAAGTTGGAATACTTCGACATCGCTCTTGGAGGCGGACGAAGTTTCAGGTGCTTTTTCAGTTGCCATATGTTAAAAGAGATATCAACCATATACCCGCTCACATGTCGCCTGTAATTATTTGACCCAACTCGAATTAGTGGGAAAAGGGTAAGTCTATTTTAGTGGAATTTAGGATCATCAAAAATACCGAAAACAAGTCACGGTGTTGATCTATCACATGATAAAACTGATAATCGTGTGACAATCTTATCAATAGATCTTTTTTTTACGCGTCTCTCAAGCTGTAACTATGTCTACAGAAGAAAAATTCATGTCGTGGAGTACCTACTTTGACATAACACCGCCAGAAGAATATAACTTCCTAGATTTTTACAAACACCGGTCGAAACAAACAGATTTTACTTTCTCTTTTCGAAAAGAGTCGTACCTACTAAAAAAAGATCTTCATAAACTATTGAAGAATGGCTCAGAGACAATGAAGAAGGTTGCCATTCGGTTGGGTGATAGTTATAAGGCAAAGTTTTTATTCAGTTTTTTATCGTATTTTTTACATTGCTGGCTGGCTTAAGGGAGGCTGAACAAGATTTTAATGGCTACTCCACGCGCTGGTCATTACTATCATGTCCTATTTGTACTGCATGTTGAGGTTGCAATGACCTCTCTTGCGGGAGGGAACCCACACAACTAAGGGTGGCATTCCACGCGCTGTCCACCTTACGGTCCACGTGCCCGTTGTGCTTGTCTCCAGCAATGCTTCTTTGAAACGGACTACTAATTCTGTGTGTACTTGTACTCTAGGGACATCGTAAATATTTTAAAGACGTTAATATGCTTTGGAATCAAATTGAGAGACATCGTGCTGAGGTTCTTATTTAATAAATTTACAGATTTTATGTTATAAACAAATTCTTGCTCATGACTTTTTTAATCGCAGTTCGAGGCCTCTAGTTCGATTATGCGAGATACCACTGAAGCGTTCAAAGATTCCATCGTAAATATCAATTCCTCTATCAAGAATGTAAATAGCATAATGGTATGTAATTACAATTATTACTTTCTGTTTCACATGTTTAGATTATATAAACTGACAGGTTTTATCAGCTCAAATGTAATGAAGAGCTTAAGGGTACTGAAAATTCTGAAAATGCAGAGTGTGTCTTAGGAAAAAGACGTGGTACTGTGTCAGATGGTCATGATTCTTTGACTGAAAGTGATGGCAATGAGTCCCCTTGTGAAATGGCAATCAAACGAAGAATGATTCAGAATGCTTCACCATCATTGATTTCAATAATGGAGAAGTATCGTGTAAAGCAAACCACTTCGAAATTTGAGTAAGCTTTTTTTGCAAATATTAGATCAATTACATATTACGTTCATTTCATAATTTAATTTATTCCTCTTGTACAGTTTGGCATACAGCTTTATCCTGGATCTTACACCCAAGTCAAAAATAGAAGGAGAATTTGGGCCAAAGTTATGGGCAGAGCTCATAGCTGATCGACCTGTCATAGCCAAAACCGAATATCATAAAGAAATTGAATCCATTTGCAATCACCTATTTAGTCCTCTTTGTAAAAAAGTAAGATATATTTGGAAATTTGAATATTTTGTTACGAATATTTATGCGTTTGTGATATTTACAGAAACAACCGAAACTTATGAATCTCGTAATAAATGGAAGAACTTAAGAGATTTAAAGGCACCAGAATATAATGATGATTTTTCATACGAAAAGGAAGACTGGGAGAAGATTTTATATTGGGCGGAACGCGCTGTTGCACCATTGTAAGTCTTTTTTTACAGGGTTCGATTATGTTGAAACCATCATTTTAAACCATAATTTTAGTCTCGATGCTTTTGAATCTGAATATAATCCTATACAACAACATGATTGTGGAGAAAGGGAGTGGTTCGGGGATTATATCATTCCCATATTTAAAGAAGCTCTGAAATTGAATACTTTTTGTCGTGTTCCGTGGTAAGTTTTGCATCAATTCATTTTTTTCCATTTTTAGACTCAAAAGTTTTGAGTTATTTTTTAGGGGGGAGGTTACGGTGATCGCAACTCTTCGAAGAAAAAATCAAGACAAAAATGTATTAGAACACCAACTTGAAAGGGGTCACCTAGCAGATTAGTGTGCAAAATTAATCAACAAGAAATTGTTTGTGGGTTGGGTTGCGGTGGTCCTCATAAATATGATCTTACAAAATGGGGCTCTGATGAGTATCAACTTCCAAGGATGCTCAAAGACATGTTAGATGACATTAGAAAAAATTCGAAGTAGAAATAGATGTACAGGGGGGGTAAGAAATTATGCAACGCTTTTTTTAATCCCGAATAGATGCTATATATAAATAAGATGTGGCGAAAAAAAATTTTTTAAACTTTGATTGTAGTTTATTATATGTAAAATTATGTCAGTTTTATTTAATCATAAACGAACGTACATATTTAAAAATCACATAATAAAAAATTTTTTTTTACTATCATTATGTTAATCAAACAACAAGAAGAAGATATTTTCAAAGGTTACCGTTTGGGGAAATCATATCAAACTATGTCAATTGCCACTATAGTACCGTTTCAAGATTTTTTAATAAAAAAAAAAAAAACCAGGCCGTCCTCCATTAATTGATGAATCTGGTCATGATTGTCTTTATCAATTAATTATTGATAATCACCATCTTACACACCATCAACTTTGTAAAAAATGGAAAGAAATGGAAGGTTACTATATAAATTTTAAAACTCTTGTCAAGAATCTTTATCAACTTGGATTTTTTTCTCATGTTGCCTGCTGTAAACCTCTACTTTTGGATGTTGATATGGAAAATCATTTTACATGGTGTTTGGAACATAAAAATTGGTTCCTTGAAAAATGGAGATCTGTTTATTGGACTGATGAAAAATCATTTGTTCAATTTCATACTTTCACAAATATTCATATGTGGCAAAAAGATGATGAAAAATATAATCAAGATTGTCTTGCTGGAATAGTTTCCAAAGGTAAAATTAGGATGGTTTGGACAGGATTTTTATGGATAGGATATGATTCACTTATATCACATTATACTAAAATAAATAATAAAGTTTATGCAAAATTGCTAAGAAAACATACTATTCCATTATTTAAGTCAATATTTTTATATGGAAATAATATATTTCAACAAGATAATGCTCCAGTGCATACTGTGAAAGTGGCAAAAGCTGAACTTACTGAGGCAAATATTGAAATACTTCCTTGGCCTTCTAAAAGTCTAGATTTAAATCCTATTGAAAATCTTTGGTATGTATTAGAAAATAGTCTTTGCAAAAATTATCCATTTTTAAAAAATCTTACAGAATTAGAAGAAATAATTCAAAATGAATGGAAATCAATTTCTTTAAAATTTTTTCGCAATCTTATTGATAGTATGCCTTGTTATATCAATGCTGTAATTGAAGCAAAAGAGAGGATAACTAAATATTAAACAAATTTCAATTATTATTTTTTTATATAGTATAACATACTATATATATGCATGTTGAAATTTTAAAAAAAAAAAGTTGTATTATTTTTTTTCTCTTATACAATAATGTTGATCGAGTATAAAAAAAATATGTATCACTCCTATCTAATTTTGATAGTATCAATCGAGATTTAAAAAAAGCATTGCCATAGGATAAGTTTTATTTTTTTCATAAAATTTTATTTTATTTTTCAGTGACTTTGGTGACAATATAGAAAAACAAGATAAAAAAGAATTTAAAATCGAAATTTAATAATAAACCCGTTACCAAAGTTGTTATCAAAGATTTTTCAGTAACAGATAGCATTGCCAGATAGCATATATTGACAACATATATATATCATCTATCTTCTTATATATATTATAAATGAAATCAAGTTAGATAATATGTTATTAACATAAGTGAATTGAGACATTTTTCTAATGCTAACTAGTATCAAAAATTCCAGCAAACAAAATTGGTATACTTTAGTATTGTATAATATACTCGATAGCATTTTTTATAGCATAGTCTGATAGCATTTATATGATATACTTAGTATACATATTTGATAATATTAATCGATAGTATAATCAGATAGTATATATATAGCATGCAAGCATATCTCTATAGGCATCCATTATTTCCTCATATTTTTTTCTTATACCATTGATCGGAGTTTATCATAGTATCTTCTAATATGCAATAGACATTTACCAAATGTTGAAAAAATCAGCTTACCACATTCTTTACATAATATGCTTCTTGTAGCTTTCCAATGACTATATTCTTCAGGTTCTATATATAATAGTCCTCATATCAGGCCACAAATGACGACACAAATTGCAATTGGCCCATCAAACTCATAATGGAAATTGCTACAGATATCCCTTAGATATATCACATGTGACTCGATAACAAAAATTGATTGGAATCATTAAACTGGTATACATTGCATGTAATTTGATATATAAAATATATCACCTTGGTTTGTATCATAAAAATCAAAACGCATGTCATTGGAGTGTAACCTAAAAAACAAAATATATGTTATTTGAGTATAGCCTAAAAAATTAAATGCATGTAAGTAAACTATAAATATATCAAGTATGTTGCTATTTTTTTAAGATTGATCACATATCAATATGGTTAAAATTATAAGATCGATTATATACTAATATGACCAAAATTATGAGATCGACTATCTTTGAATGTAGTCAGAATTATAAGATCGAATGTGATCAAAATTATGAGATCAACTACTTTTGAATGTGGCTAGAATTATAAGATCAACTACTTTCGAATATGGCCAAAATTATGAGATCAATCACCTTTAAATTTCGAATGTGATCAGAATTATAAGATCGACTATTTTTGAATATGGCCAAAATTATAATATAGACTATATTATAACCTAAGCTAAATAGATATCAAAATAGGTATTTACTTATAATTAGATCACAATATACTTATAAGTAGGTAATAATTTAATATAAGTAGATCGCAGTATATATATATTGCGATCTACTTTTGTTTTATTTAATTTAGAAAAAATTAATTGTAAAAACATTGAAGAGTTTCTACAAATATATTAATTAATTATTTTAAATACCTTTGTAATAATTTTTTAGAAATAATTATTATTACTTTTATACTTTATAATTTTCTTTTTTTATAATTTTTTGATGTTATATTATATAATAGAGACAGTCAAGTTTATAAGTCTATTTAGTTTTAATATAAAATGTTTATTTTCATATCAAAATTATAATAATTTTTATCTTTTAACTTTTTTTTGCTAATGAAATTACTTTAATTAAAAAATATTTAAACAAATAATTAATATAATATATAGAATTAAAATTATCAAACTTATCAAATTTTCTCTTTTTATTAGAAATATTATTATTATAAGTTGTAATTTCTTGAATTAAAAAAAAAATTATATTTTTAAGAATTATAGAACAAAACTTATGATATTATATGAGTTTCTATTTAATATTTATTTGATATGAATTGAACTAAAAATAAAAAGATTATATATATACTATCTTTAATACATTAATTATTAAGTTTTTTTAATATTAATTATAATTTACTTATATTATATTATATTAAATAAATTATATAACATATATAAATTATTTAAAAATATACTATTCTATTATTTAAATTAATTTTTTCATGTAGAAATAATATATTTCAACAAGATAATACTTTTCTATATATTATAAAAATAGTAAAAATTAAACTTGTTAATATAAATATCGAGATTTTATTCTAGACTTCTAAAAGTTTAAATCTGAATTCTATTGAAAATCTTTGATAAATAATAAAAAATAATATTTATAAAAATCATTTACTTAAAAACTTATAGAATTAGAAGAAATAATTTAATATAAATGGAAATTATATTTTTTGATATTTTTTTTATGATTTTGTTAATAATATATCTTATTATACTAATATTATAATTGAAACAAAAAAAAATAGTAATCAGATATTAATAAAATTTTTTTTTTTGCTTTTATATATATTGTTGTGAAAAATAATGAATCTGTCATTAAACTGGAGCAACACTTGTGTAATGCTACTGATAATAGAAGAGATTGTTTTTTTCTATTTTATCAATTACCTTGCTTGTTAGATTTTCATTCTCAATAATTATGTTATGGATTTCTTGTGACCTTATGGATTATTCTTTGAACAATTAATACTAATTAAGGTAGGTTTATTAATTATGGTTTTCTTTATTTGATTATTGTGCAACAAAATGCCACTCTACTTTTTTTCTATTCTACTAGCAATTCTACTTTTACAATGATAATAAAATAAACTGGTATATTTTACATACCAACAGTATGCATATATGCTCACATAGTAATATATCAAGAAAAATAAATAGTAAACGGTTCGAAAGATGATGAGCTGGGTGCATGCTAGGTTTAGGAATCGATTTGTTATCTAAAGCGGAAGAATTTGGCAAAGTCGTAATAACATCCGTATCTGAAGCATATACAAGTAAAACATGCAGTCGTTGCGGATATATTAAGAGGAATTTGGGTGGAAATAAAGTATTTAGGTGTGATGGATTTGGACTTCAGATTAATAGAGATATACTGTAAATGGCGCCCGGGGAATTTTTCTCCGGGCACTGCTTGATGGAGCCTTAATTATGTGACATAATTATGTCAATTGATTGGCTATTTTTAGCTATAGTTATTACATTGAGAAATTCAATCAAAAATAAAATGACTTGCAGTAGTTGAGTAATAAGTAGATTACTTTATTTGAGCAATTGATAAATATTCGGAAATTTTGTTCTCAAGTTATGTACAAGATTCGCGCATTTCAGAATCCGATGAATTTTTTTACAGAAATTTACAAAATACAAGATTTACAGGAAAAAAAGTAAATTAAATACAGAGGGAATAAATAAATGGGGATGAGTAAAAAAAAAACCGGTTGATACTACGCGAAATTTTGTTTTCCAATTTCTTTGATTCAAAGACTCAAATTTGAGAAATCATCAGACAAGTCATATTCTGAGGAAAATTCGGAATCTAGGGAAAAAAGAAATATAAATGGTGATTACAAGTTCAAAAAAAAAAAGAAGTTGTCATTTATTGAACAAAAGAAAAAAATATTTACCACTATAATGTGATTCGCCTTCGTTACCATTGAGAGGAGGCTGTTGAGGAGTTTGCGAGGTAGATATCTTGAAATTCAAAAGTCGACTTGTGTACACCGCACCAGGGTGTATTTCGAATCCACCGTTTCTTTCGCAGACCCTCTCGTACCTTTCTCTCACACATACACCACTATCGCTGTCATTCGTATACTCGCTTCGTGTCGACATAAACCTCTCACTGCCCTCACTACTTTCACTTCCGTAATCGCTCCCGAAATCATCGGTATCCCACTCATCGCTCGAGGACGATCCCATTTGCTCCATTCTTTGACTATACTCCGCTTTCTCGAGTACTTTCTGATCGGCCCTCAAGAAACCTTGTTGGATCTCTTTGCACTTCGCGTTTGAATTAAATTTACCGCTCATGCACTGATGCCAATGTGGTAGTATCATCGACAGATGTTTGACCGTGGGTCGCTTTAATGGATTCTCGTGACAACAATGAGCTGCCAAGTTCACGTAATTTTCAGGTGCGAATCCTTCGATGATTGTTGGTCGTCTCCCTTTGCACACCTCATTGGCCAATTCTTGGTCATGAGCTCTGTCATGGAATGGTGGTTTCCCATTGGCAATTTCGATCATCAACACACCAATGCTGTAAATGTCCGAGTATTTGCTCACAGGATTTCCTTGTAATACTTCGGGAGCAATAAATGGCAATACACCATAACACAAATTATCGCCTTGCCTCGATTTGGCGATGGTTGATATCGAACAAGTGCTATCAGCCGGTATGCTCAGTCCCAGATCCGATATCGAAGAATAGGTTTCCCGATAATCGTCGCCGGTCTGGAGGATGTTACCGGTGTGCAAGTTGCCATGAACTTGACCTTCCTTGTGGATGATATAGAGGTTGGAAATGATGTCACAGAGCCACCAGAGTTTCTGTGACCATTGGAATTGGGCGAAAGAACGAGGAGCAGAATGCATGAACTGACGAAGGTTCCCATGGTTAGCATATTTAGTGACCAACATATATTCACCGGTATAAGGGCTTT